AGATGCCGGCCACAGAGACTGGCAAAACGTTAGGAAGAACAACCTTCAGGACACGGCCAAAGAGCCTGAAAAACCCACAACAGCCAATAAGAGATGGGATTTATTAATTTCGAAAGAGCACTGCACCTAGGGAGGTGATATAGAAAGGTGTTCTTCCCTCCTTTTTATGTTTAGTTGCTCTGTAAATTAATGAATGGAAGCACTGCCTGGCTTGCCCCTCAATGAATGAGGTGAGACAGAGGACAAAGGTTTTTGTATTTGACTGGCCCTGAAAATTTAACCTTTATATAGTAGCTTTCGATCATTGTGTCAGTGGTGACTGTTTACCAGCTAGCCGAATTGTAGTCTGATAACCTTTGTCTGGCACTGTACTGTGGATATTGTGATACCGTGAAATAGGTTGGTGTTGGCTGAGAGGTGCTACAGAGTATTTTTAGCTAAACAAATTTCTATATCTTGCTCCAGATAGAAGTCTCTGCTTTGCCACATTTGGGATTGCATAGCAGCCACAAAGAAAAAAAATTCTGAGTGATTGGATGGTTGCAAAGCCATGTGCCTGATAACACCAGAAAGGATTGCTTTAATGGGAGCAATCGCCCACAAGATGATTTTTCTATCTGCTGGGAATCGCTTCAGCCTAGCTTCAAAAAGTAGAAGCCCTACAGCCGAACCAAAAATCTTGAGCGTGGACATGGGTCAATCTGGAGCACTTTTTCCCATGTATACTATGATAACTAGAAACAGATTGCACCAGACCACCCACGAACAGTCCAAATGAGCTAACATCCTATGTTTGCTTTAAATGTTTGTTCTGGGTGATTGTACTGTCTGTCATATAGCTTTTCCATATGTCCTGCTATAGAAGCTTTGGTTTGGAAATTAACAGGTGAGCTGCTGTTCCTGTTCTTTGGTCAGTATGCTTGGTGCTTACTGTATTTTCCATGTATAAGATGATGTTTTTCTCTAAAATATTTAGATTAAAAAATTTAGAGTCGTCTTATACATGGAAGTAAGGAGGGCAGAGGGATCAAAGTGCTTTGATCCTTGCTTTACCCCTCCACTTTCTTTTCAAAAAATCATCAAAGTGCTTTGATCATTGCTTTCTTCCTCAACTTTTTGTGAGGAAAGTGGAGGGCAAAAGGACTTTCCTCAAAAGCAAGAGCTTTCTTGTGAGGAAAGTGCTTTTCCCCTCCACTTTCTTTGGAAGAAAATGAAGGGGAAAAGCAGGAATCATCAAAGCAATTCCTGCTTTCTCCCTCCACTTTCTTGAGAAGAAAGTGGAAGAGGAAAGCAGTAATCAAAGCGCTTTGATGATTCCTGCTTTCCCCTCCACTTTCCTCTCAAGAAAGCACTTTCTTGCAAGGAAGGTGGGGGGAAAGCACTTTCTTCTGAAGAAAGTGGAGGGGGAAAGCAGGAATCAAAGTGCTTTGATCCCTCCCCCCACTTTCTTGGGAAGAAATTCTAGGTTAGAAAAGTGGGGGGGGGGTGTCCTTATACAGTGGGCGTCCTATACACGGAAAAATACGGTAGTTTGTCAAGAAGAAGGAGAGGGAAATTCCATGTGCTAGGTTTGGAAACATGCTGTGAGCCAGTTTGCCCATGCACAAATCTCATATGTGAGAATTTTCCATTCGCCCACATCCACATGCCTTTTGACCTTTTCAAAGAATTCTGAAAGGTTTGTGAGGCAAGACTTAACTTTATAGAAGCCATGCTGATTTTCCCTCAGCAATGCTTGTTCTTCTATGTGTTTTAAGATTTTATCTTGGATGAGGCTTTCCACCATTTTCCCTGGAACAAATGTTATTCTAACCGGCTTGTAGTTTCCCGGGTCCCCCCTTCTTCCCTTTTTAAAGATTGGCATGACGTGCTATGCTCCAGTCCTTTAGCACTTAAGGACAAGTTGTATATTTTAGTTAAGAGATCAGCAACTTCATTCCTCAGTTCTTTAATAGTCTTGGGCTGGTACCAACTGGGCCTGGTGACTTATTGATCTTCAATTTATCAATATGTAGTGCATTATTTGTAAAACACTAGCTACCATTTCTAACTTGCTCAGAATCCTCTTTCTTACATATATTTGATGCCTACATCTCTTTGACATTAAAGAAGAGGTCTGCATATTGGCTGAAATCCTGTTTGTGTGAGTTCTGTAGCGCAAGGATGATTATTTAATCAGCTAAGGCAGTGGTCCCCAACCTTGGGCCTCCAGATGTTCTTGAACTACAACTCCCAGACGCCTTCACCACCACCTCTGCTGGCCAGGATTTCTGGGAGTTGAAGTCCAAGAACATCTGGAGGCCCAAGGTTGAGGACCACTGAGCTAAGGGGATTTTTGGAAATTAAACATTTCTTTCTTCCCTTTTCTGGCCCCCACATGTCCCTAGTAACTTCTTTCATTGTCAGGATCCTTTGCAGGGCAGGAGGGGGAAGTGTTTAATTGCTGATAATCACTGCTGCCAAAATAGTGGCAGCAATTTTCAATAATCAAAGACTTTCTCCTACTATCCTGCAGCCCCCATGGGTCCCACTGAAGAAAGAGATTGTTTGGTACCCATGGAGGCTAGGGGATGGGAGGAGGACACAATCAGTTTCTTTAAAATAATGCCTCAGCTGAAGACATCATCAGCCTCATTCCACAGAACTTATGTAGATAGGATTTCAGTCAGTGTATTGTGTTTTCATATGTACTCCTTCCATAAATGCCAAATACTATGTTTTCAACCATGTCTTTCCTCAGATTTTCTTATGCTTGGTTTTCTTAGCACAGATGCAGCAGTGAATAGCAATACCAGCCCTTCCCAGTCATCATCGATCAACGACATTTCATCCATGTCAACAGAACAAACACTGGCCTCAGACACAGACAGCAGCCTTGATGCTTTGACAGGAACACTTGAAGGATGTCGGTGATCAGTGTTGAAGATTGAACGTTGGCAAAGAACTTTTGCTTCTCTTGGGCCTGAAACACTTGTAAGTTTTATGGAACCAAGTAGAAAAACTCCATGTTCTGCATGTTCCTCTAAAATAATGTCTGCGATTTTATTCAGTTGCCACAGACTTTCTGCTTAATGTTTTCCCATGAAAGCAACTTTGTATATCAAGGCAAAATAAGTGTAGACATTACTATAACTTATTCTGTTTTAACCTATATCAGGTGAGCAGTTAAAATAACTCCACACCCAAATGAATTCATGGGCATTCTCTCAGACCTCTGAAACATGCGCATTGTCAATATAATTTTTAAAATAAGAAAGCCATTGTAAATCTTGTTGAATGTATATCCTCTTTCTTATCTATGTGATTACAGACATATGCCATATCAATGTGTCTTGCTGGCATTCTCAGTACAGTAAAATATAAAGGCATAGTTTCTCTGCGTAGCACTCTTTTCTTGAGGCCTTTTTCTGTCCACCTCCAAATAATTTTGTATACCTTCTTGTACAAGAAGCAGATATGTGAATTTTTGCTTCATCTTTACATCTGAATGTAATTTTGCTTCTCTGAATGTGCTGTTCTAGTGCTTTTATTTCAAGGGGTAGACAGAATAAGAAAAATGCTAGTGTATTTTTTAACTCTTGCATGGTTTGTGAATTAGTGTATGTTTTAAAATAGATATTTGGTCTTTTTAAAGGGCTTGTAAACATCATTGCTCCTTTCCCTATTTTGGCATTGCCATGGAAAATCTGACGAAGCTTGAGAGTATTGTGGGGATATAGACCCCCTGGACAGATATACAGATACCCACTTAGTATGTGTGTTTTGAAGGGACCACCATATGATATATGAGAAAATTTGCACAATAGTAAATTAACCATAATAGAAAAACAAGAGAATAGCTTTTTAAAAATGGAACTATGTAAGAAAAGGTTTTTAAGTGGAATTTATACACCCTTCTGTAGCAAATTCCAGAGACAAATGCCAATCTTGAAACAGTTTGAACTGGTTCTTTTTTTTTCCTGGTTCCAAAAAATTGTAATGTGTCACAGATTGAGAATGAACAAAATCTATTCACCAGATATTTGCAAGGAAACATATTTGTGTGAATATGTTCTATATTTATTGATAGGATAGTAGCTTCAACAGTGTTGAGAGGTTATCCAAGTTTGGCAACTGAGACTTATCAGTAAGTCTTGAACAATGAAGATTTTGGATTGCCACAGTTGGGGCATAGGGTTGTCACATTAGTAAAAGGTGGGTTTGGTTCATTTCTCTAATAACCAAAGGCGCATTTAATATATGACCTTCGTGCTCTGGCACCAGCACTTTACTAAATGTACAATCTTTTGTATGTTTACTTGGAAGTAAAACCCATTGGGTTTAATGAAGCTTATTCTGGATGGGTCACTATAGGTTTACAGTCAAATTAATATGTATTGCAAGCTTTTCTGGCCAGAGAAAGGTCAACAGACCTTTTGAGTAGATCTAGCATGACTAAGTAAGATTTCTCCTATGGTTTTCTCTTGAGTTATAGGGATGTTTCAGACATGGATGTATTGAAAGGAACAGGATTAGAAGATCTAGAACACTGGTTCTTAACCTTGGGTTACTCAGGAGTTTTGGACTGCAACTCCCAGAAGCCTTCACCACCAAGTGTGCTGGCTGGGGTTTCTGGGAGTTGCAGTTCAAAAACATCCGAGCAACAAAGGTTAAGAACCACTGATCTAGAATAAGAATTGGAGAGCGTCCCTGCCCCCATAGCTTGATTAATAAAGTTATATTACATTGGACTAACTGATCATTTTGAAGTGGCTTCCTAAAAAAAACCCTGTTAGCTGAATAGGGAAGATCCAGTGAGGCTGTGCTTGGACATCACACTGAACTATCGTTCAGCAAAATGTAAAGAGTGTAGCCATCTCTTACATTTGCTTGCTTGGCCCTCTCCCCTCTCTTTGAGAAGTTTTTGGTTGTACTTTTGGATAATTGCGGTTTTTCATGGTGCTTTTGTGTGACAAGGTCTGGTCAACACTGCATTATTTTCAAATAAGCCACTGCTAAAAAATCTCACTTCTGAATTTGATTGGTGAAGCTAGCCACAGTTGGTGTGATTCCCCGTTCATGCTTGGGATGGGGTGTAGGGTGAAGTGTGCTAATTTAAAAACAGGCCAAGTTATATCATGCCTTCCTCGAATGTAATTTAGTGTGACATCCAAATACAACAGGAGGAGCTTTACTACCTTCTTTTGGCAAATCTAAACATAAACAAGAAAGAGAAACAGAGTGAATCCCCTGGTTTAAAATATTGCCTCCCCCCCTTTTAAGTTTCATATCCCTATACTTAACTGAAAGTTTTGGAGGTATACTGTTTCAGATTAACTTTAAGGAAGTCAAAGTGGCTTTTGTATTGTGAAGCTGTCAGCCTGAATTCTGAATGGTTAGAAGACACGCTATCAACTGAATTCAAAACTGAAAAATGGACATCTGTATTTCACTGATGATAATTTATTCCCCATGTCTGCTTTTTTAAAAGAACTTTCCCATTCTATTGTCAATAACATTCACTCTGACATAAATATATTACCAAAATAAGTTAACATGAATTATGTTAATGCATGTGCGCTGGAGTAATATAGGGGTTTCAGCGTTTATTTTATAATTCCAAAGCCACTACAAAAATCAGTGCTGTTGTTTTGTAAAAATGAGGGATTCAGTGCTATGTTTGTATCTTTTGTATATAGCATTTAGTCTTGGAATACAGAACCTTTCTCTGTGCATTCTGTTTTGCAAAATATCTGTTGGGCATGGGATTGTGTCTTCAGCTCCTGACACTCCTTCACTGTCCAGGAACACCAAAATTCAAGTGACCCCAACCCCCAGTCCAATTTCAGGAGAATTTCAGAGATTGTGAATGGAAATATCCACGGCTCCAAAATAAATGATACAAATACAGTGGTGCCTCGCACAACGGGTGCCTCACACAACGATGAATTCACACAACGATGCCTTTTTCTGTTAAATTTGCCGCCTCACACAGCGATGTTTCCTATGGGGGATTTTCACACAATGATGTCTCTTTTTCGTTCCTGTAAAAGTGTCTTACAATGTTTGGAAGCTGTTTTAAATGGTTGCAATGGTTAGCCCACCTCCTGAAACCTATGCAAACTGATTTTGGTGTTGTTCTGACACTTCGTTAATTTATGGTAATTTTTTGTTTTCCCCCCTCATTGAACTCCATGCATTTCAATGAGGGGGGAAAACAAAAAATTACCATTAATTAACGAAGTGTCAGAACAACACCAAAATCAGTTTGCATAGGTTTCAGGAGGTGGGCTAACCATTGCAACCATTTAAAACGGCTTCCAAACATTGTAAGACACTTTTACAGGAGCGAAAAAGGACTTCGCAAAGCCATTGAAATGTATTGAGTCGGCTTCAATACATTCCAATGGAGGAAACATTGTTTCACACAGCAATGTTTCCTATGGGGATTTTCACTCAGCGATGGCAATCCATTCCAATTGGAACGGATTAACCGGTTTTCAATGCATTCCTATGGGAAATGGTGTTTCACAGAACGATGTTTCACACAACGTTGATTTTTTTGGAACCAATTAACATCGTTGTGTGAGGCACCACTGTACTGGGATACATCAGATGTCAACAGCAGCCAGAGGCTTCAGTTCCATGTTGTAGTGCAAGAAGTTGGCTTTCCCGGTTTAATTTAGATCAAGGTTTTGCTATTTAATTGGGATTTTCACTGTCTAATTGGGATAGCCATGATTTCCAGAGTTTTGTCGTGGACACATCTATCTCCCCCCCCCCCCCCGTTTCTTGATTTTAGAGAAACAGCTACCCTGACTGAAGCTGCCCTTGGTTCTCTGCATGGGACGATTCAGGAAACAGCTGTTTAATAGTGACAGAAAGGCACTCCATAACGCTTAGGGATATTTTCATATACATAGCTTAAGATTTGTCCCTGTTTCTGAAAAAATCCTGGACAATGCTCTGATGAATTCTAGTAAAGGTTACTTTTGGGGGGTACTGAAGAGCAGGAGTGGGTTGTAGGGAGCTGTTTCTGAAAGCAAAGTGAAAAGGGGAATTAGTAAATTGCAGCACAGAGGAGAACATAATATATGCGTTACCTCAGTTGCTGCTCAATTTCTAAGTTCAGGACTCTGTTGGAGAAACATAAATACAATTATGCAAGTGTTCTCACCGCCAGTGAGCTCTCCTTCACAGTGGTCATGCACTGGTTGCAGAATTGGGTATATGACCAAACATGTGAAGGATAGCCTGCCCGAAAGGAAGAGTGCTGCGATGGTCCTTGCGTGTGGGTTTTTTAAATTAGGCTTCTCACCTAAAAAGTGAAGTGTTGGGACTATAATCCAGTGTATCAGTTCTTCTTCTCACTTCTAGGCATGTGAAAATCGAATACAGTTGCTCAGTTGTAAAGGAAGAAGACTTAAGGCACATTCTTGATCAGAATTCTCTGTCTCTAGTAGTTATTTGTCAGAGAATCATGGAACTTTAGAGCTGGGTTATCAAGTCCAGCCCTCTGCCAAACCAGAAGGTCTGCAGCTAAAGGATCTCTAACAGGTGGCCATTGAAATTTTGTTTTAAAATGTCCATTGAAGGAGAGTCCGCTATCTTCCAAGGCAGTTTGCACTCTAAGAGCTCCTACTGTCAAGAAGGTCTTTCCAATGTTAGGCAAAAATCTCCTTTCACAGATTTGAAGCCAGTGATCAGGTTTGTAGTCCCATTTGTATATAGCAGAGTGCACAATGGCAGTGCACAACTTGAATAAAATTAAAGTTATTTATTTTACAAAAGCATGATTCACATTTAATTCATGTGAGTTAAATACTTGTAGTACAAAAAGTGTAATAGCTTTTCATTGCTTTTTACCATATTTGCTTTTAAATTAGTTGCTTGTAGCCTCTGTGATTTCAAGGCTCATCAATCCTTTAACAGTTTATTTTCTGTTCTCTCTTTCACTCATGAGGAAATATCCATGCAGACTTCTCTCACTTTATCTGGCAGCATCTGGCAGTATATTTTCGTTCTGCAGATCCTTCATCTTCCTTCCTTCTTCCTCTCTCCTGCTGGTCTGCTGCTTCTTCTGCTCATGCTTTCACTCACACATACACACACATGGTTTGCTGCTGCTGCCGCCGCCTTTATACTGATGTTACTCAGTGACATTCAGCATTTCTCAAGGTTAATCAACTCATCAATCTCACCTGCCTGTCTTTCTCTCTTGTAACTTTACTGAGCAGAAACGCTCTTGGTAAAATACAACCCCAATAGCCAGGTCCTAACCTTTGGCACTCCATATATCAAGCTGCAATTATTTGGATAATACTGGGCAAAGTAGGACGTAATTCTGATTAAATGTGCAAATGATGGTACCATTAGTGTTCCTCAAAAATAAAATGGGACCACTTCCTTTAAAACAGGTAACTCTGTCTTTCTGAATGTTTTTGGACTGCTGATTACTTACATCCTTATCCGTACCTGTTCTGCCTAGGTTGGTGGGAGTTTTGGGCCAGATATACATATACAGTGGTG